TCCTGTTGGATCTGAAGGTGGATTTGGAAAACAAAACCAAATAAAGAAGGTGATGTAGTTGCCTTTATTAAACTTGAATTTTATTGATGCAGTTTTCTTTAATTGTGTGTCTCCTCCCCTCCCCCAAATTAGGAAGAGAGCTGCCACTGCCTGTAATTAGTTAAGTATTGGCTGAAATTAGTTCAGTATTTGTAGCTTGAGAACATAGCAGTTCTCTAAGATAGTTTTATGGCCTAGTAAGGTATAAGTGTGAATTATGTTGTAACTCCCAAGTTTTGTAAGTAGGAAATTTAATAGAACAAGAGAGGAAATGCATAACCCTGATTTAGATAATCAAATAGTATCTGGTGTGAGAATTGTATGCTTCAGGTAGATAATGTTGAGCTGAATGCTTGACAACTTTGCCCTTCTCTTGGCTGTTCTGTGGCAGTATCTCAATATTGATATTACTGAAACCTCAAGTTTTGCAAGTCTTCTCATTTCCTCAGATTACACAGCACACTTTACTGGCAATGATTTACGTCTATGAGTAATGGGCATGGGGCTTTTTTTGCTGTTGAGTAAGTTGCTAATGTTTCTTGGTCTTATTAATACTACTGTTTTGAATAATGAGTGCTATCTTGTCATTTGGTTGTCTCTTGTTTAATTGTCTTACGTTACATAGTTCACTTAGATAATAATGCAGCTATGAATTTAACTAACAAAATGCAAGGTTTTTGGCAGTGTCAGTATTTGATTTCGCAAGGGTACACTTCAGCACTCAGTTTCATTTGCGTAATTCCAGCTAAGATGATTAATACACATGGAGAAGTGATGTACATATAAACCTTCTCAAGAAAAATCTGAAATATCTTGGAATTTACTTTTATATCAGGCCATCTTGAAGGGTCAGTTAGTTGAAACTTCTGATCTTGGATTATATTTTCAGCCAGAATCCACAACTGACTGGAGTAAGTGGGGGCAGAGACTGGAGTAAGTGGGGGCAGGTTCTTTTAATGTTCCTGCTTTTCAATGCTGAAAAGGCAAGCAGTTTTTCATTCTAAAAATACAACTTGCCTCTTCAAGAGTTTGACTGTTTACAGCAGAACTGTTGAATAAATTTCTGGCTGAACTCACCTTTCTTGTTTGCACTCAATTGCGTCAGTGAGTTGCAGCCAAAGCACTTAAAAATAAACGGTTAAAATTCGAGAAATATCCAGATATACCATCAAAGTCTGATGTTTATGCTAATAATGCTTTTTAGACTCGCTAATTTTAGATTTTGACACTTCAGATTTGTAGTTTTTAAAAAAAATAGCTCTTTGAAAGTTGACATGTAAAATTACCTGACATTTTAAATTAAATGCCACAATACTTCTGAAACTGTTTTGTATGTGAATATCGGAATGTAACAGTATATATGAATGTAACATGTGATGGTAAAACTCTCATTGATTTGGGTCAGAATGTTTTGAGTATCAGATTGATGAACTGCTTTTGATCTCTTTAGGAGCTCCAAGTGACACTTATTCCTGGCATGTGCCAATAATGTTAACTTGGGGCCTATGGTATGCTACATCTGTGCATGTTCATGTGAATATGGCTCACTTTTAGACTGTAGTCCAAATTCGTTCTAAAACTTCCCCAAGTATAAGGAAGAAATCTTCCTTCCTCTGCCTTTCAAATTGTTCCTGTGGAGCTGCCTGTTTTGTTTCTACATCTGACTTTGGAAATCTCCACAGTGATTCACACAGTAGTAATAATCTTTGTGATTAAGTTAACGATGTGCGATCCCAAGTTTTGAAAGCGAACTGAATCCGAAGTAGAGTGAAATCAAGAAAGATACGTGGTGGACTAGGAAATTAGTACGTTTCAAGCAATCAAAATAATATAAATTGGTCACTGTTAATATCAAATAGTGAAAGCTACCAGAAAACCAGTTACTCCAGGCACTGAAATGTTATACAAGTTACAGTACTCAAGCCAGAAGGTAAGAGGCCAGTGAAAGGGAAGAGGGCAAGATGATTAATTGACAAGGAAAACTGTAGCTACTGAAGATCTATTCAGGAATCCAACCGAATGCGGGTTTTAAGTATCGAGACACTAAGGTCCTTTCTGCACTAGACCTTAAATCCTGGTTCAACCCTGTTCCTGAACTTACATTCTACACTGTACATGAGTTCACCCCTGTAATTATCTCAGGGGTTTTTTACATTCTACACTACATCCAAGTTCACCCCTGTAATGATCTCGGGGTATTTTTTGTTTCCACATTGCACTGAGGTCACCTCGGTTTCACCCCACACTTATCCCAGGATAAATGGATGCTGTTATAACTAGGGATAAATGCAAAGTATTGTGTCGCAAGTTGAACTTTGATAAAACCAGGGATGAGATCCAAGTGCGGAAAGGACCTAAATGTTTCCAAAAGGGAAAAGAGCAGGTACTTATTGTGTGTCAACAGGTGTTCGGAAGCTGCACAAATATGGGTTTGAAGGCAACCAGAAGCGCACACAAGAGCAGGTTCTGAGCCAATTATAGAGACTCAGAAAGGGGGGGGAGTAGAGGGGGCCAGGGATTGTAAGTGCATGCTGGGGGAAGAATTGGGGATCCTGGGAATAATTCCAAATAAGATAAAAGAGGTGGCAGTCCCAGGAGAGGAGGGGGCAATTTAGGAAGGAAATTCTATTTGAATTGCCTGTACCTTTCTTTAGAAGAGCCATGACATCTTTTTAAAGAAATGAATATATTATTTTTGTCTCTTTTTTACCTGTAATTTTGCTTTCATTGTTCCTTTGTATATTCTTTTTGTGCCTCCAGAAACAAACCATCATACTTGGATTGTAGCAACCATATCAACCCTCCCCCACACTTGCATTCAAGGGCTGTCTCTAGCCTTATAGTTCATATTTTATTGCTAGGCTTACCAAGTGGCGGCGGGGGATTCGCATGTCTTCACAGGATTCCTGCCGCGGGGGCGGCGACACGCGTTGCCCCCGCCGTCGCCAGGATGTGACGCTACGCGTCGCTCTGGCAATGGGACTCCAAACAGCCCCGTTGCCAGAGCGATGCGTAGAGTCACATCCTGGCGACGGCGGGTGCAACGCGTGTCGCTGTCCCCGCGGCAGGGATCCTGTGAAGACATGCGGATCCCCCGCTGCCACTTGGTAAGCCTATTTATTGCCCATAGTAGCCAACCTTATGTCCTGCTTCCTGTGATCACTACATTTCAGTTAAACCACCTAAAAATAGTATCATCACAATTCCATAATTAAAGACTAACTAAAACCGGTATGTTCTTCTGCTTCTTGATTAATCTACTACAAAGATGTTTCCTTTTTAAGAGATCAGGTAGTGTTAATTTCTCCAATTCAGCAAAATGTTGAGTGAATTGTTCACCCAGCCAAGCGGTAAGTTTGCTGCAGGGGTGCTGTATTGGCCAACAGTTTAATTTCAGTACTTAAAACTTTTTTTCCTTCTCCAAGATATGTGTGTGTGGGGGGGGGGAAGAAATCCTTTCCGCAAAGGTCTTTCAAACAGGAAGGCAGAGCTCACAATTCAGTTTTAATATATGATGCCTCCTTTAATGTTTATAAGGCTTTATAACATCTGTGAATCTATGCACCATTGCTATACGTAGACTGGGATAGTGTTAGCAAATATAGTGTTTGTACAAGAGTGAAAATCTGTTTGTCATTCCTATCTACAAAAGAGGTTCCAAGGATAATTCCAGTAATTATAGACCCATAAGTCTGTTGTCAATTATAGAGAAAAGTTGTACTGCTATATATAGTCATCCCCATTGCAAGATGATAGTCTGTGGGGACTATTCTTGCCTTACAGCAACTTCTGTTAAGGCTTGGATGGATCTTCTGAGTTATGTGGAAAGCTCTCTACTCAGTAACAAAAGGCTTCAGGAACATCCAGTGCTGATAAGGAAACTTTCCATGTTCTTCTATCCACCTGGCAAGTTTCACTACATTTTGGGATGAGAGCTGAGGACAGTTGCCATATGGAAGCCATTTGTTGTGGGGACAAAACAATATTGCCTTGTTCCTGTCAGTATCATTTGCTTTGAAAGGGGAGTACTCAGTGTCAAACCTTAAGAAGTCTCTTTTTATGGCTGGACATACCTGCTCTTTCTAGATGTATGAATTAGTACACAAAGGAGGAGAAACATTAACCTTTCTTTAAAAAAAACCCTTGAATAATTTGCTGTGGCGGTATTTTAGGTAGAGATGTGAAGGCCCGGAAACAAAATGGAAAAATTCGGGGAAAAAAATGTTTTTTTCCTGTTTTTTCCCTGAAGCCTTTTTGTTTTTTCCCAAAAAATTGGAAAAATTGAAAAAAGAAAAAAAATTGATTATGGAATGTTTTATTTTAACATGATGAATAAAATATTTTAAGACAAGGTGTTCAAATATTTTCCAAATCATTTCTAAAATATATATATATGGTATCAGATTGATCTAATTTCTGTGCAGTTACAAACCGAACCCTTAAATGCAAGAACAAGATGCATTTCTTCCTTTAGGAGGTGCTATTGTCAGAAGAAAATAAAGTTTCAGTTTTGTTTTTACATGTGGGTGGTTATTCTGTTTGAAATAATTGTTTGGATACACTATATTTTTAATATGCTAGTTGTGATAATTTCATGCCAAGTAAAAATGTCTATAGTCATATTTTATGTTCCTAAAGTAACAGAATGACTTTCAATCTAGAAAAGACAAAAGAAATGCTAATGTAGCATTTTTTCAATTTTTCTGAAAATTTCAATTTCCCCTCGAAAAAAACTAGAAAAAAAACGGGTTTTTTTCCGAGCTTCAAAATTTCCGGAAATTTTACATCTCTAATCTTAGGTGTCCTGAACTTTGGGCCATTTGAGCCAAAGATGCGCACTTAACCAGAAACAAATCTGTATGAGAATGCTGTGAGAAATCCCCATTGATTAAGTAGCCTGTAAAGGAGGAGTAAAGCTGTTTGAATCAGTGACTATAGTTTTATTATTTGTTCTTGTTTAGAAAAATCTGGAGACAGAATGGCTGTAGGGGAGAGAGAGACAACAGAGCCTTCAGATAACCAAAGCATACAAGCAAATGCACAACGCCAGTCAGTCTGGGGAAGTAATGCTAGTAATGACCTTGTCAGAAGTAAGTATTACCAGAACAAATTGCTGCTGTTTAGACTTTCTATAGTGTAATCTGTATATTGACCATGTCAGTTATATCTGTGTCAAATACAGTTCGTGTGAACTGCAATATGTGTCTGTGGTATTTCTGTGCAGGGATGAATTCCATATCTATTGAAGAGCAGAAACTAAGATATAAATATGCTGTTTGGTTACTTGTGTGCTGTACCATGTCAGGAGGGCCTTTGTAATTTATATTTTAAATTAGCACACTGTTCCATAGATTCAGTATTGAACTATCTTAATAAATGTCAACATCATTTTGTGTATTTCTGTTTCTCTCACAAATATCTACCAATCTCACATATATGGGGATGTGGGTGGTGGTTTCCAAGTTCTGCCTCATCCTAGAATGATCATGTGGAGCAGCTAGAGAATTTATCTTTTAAAAATGTGAAGGTATACTAATGTACAAATACTGATTTAAACTCGTCTACAATCCTACACCTGCTTACCGAGGATTCAGTTCCTAGTAATTTTTGTTTCAGGAAATCTTGACTAGATTGTTCCAGGAGAATGCTGCATATGCAGAGCTATAAAGGATTGTTTCAGAACTGCTGGGCCATTCTTGGATCCGGCATAATTGGCAAACTACTGGCCGTTTTCCAACTTGCCCTATTTGGGCAAGATAATTGAGAGGGCAGTAGCAAGTCAGTTACAGAGTTTTCTGGATAACGCTTCCATAGTAGATCCCTTCCAGTCTGGCTTTGGTCTGGGCCATGGCATGGAGATGGCACTGGTCGCCCTCACGGACAATCTCCAAAGACATCTGGATCGAGGAGAGGAGATTGGTTTTTATACCCCACCCTTCACTTGGAATCTCAGAGTGGCTTACAAACTCCTTTCCCTTCCTCTCCCCACAACAGACACCCTGTGAGGTAGGTGGGGCTGAGAGAGCTCTGACAGAACTGTCCTTGAGATAACAGCTCTGACAGAACTATGGCTTGCCCAAGGTCATCCAGCAGCTGCAAGTGGAGGAGTGGGGAATCAAATCCGGTTCTCCCAGATTAGAGTCTGCACATTTAACCACTACACCAAACTGGCTCTCTCCTCCTTCTCCTATATCTGCTGTTGGGCGGCTAGTTAGACTCTTGGCTGGAAGATCTGGATCTGGCATTACTAGCTGTGGCTGTATGGCTTAGACTGAGTTGATTGAAACTGAATCCAATGAAGATGGAGGCTCTGTGCCTAAGTTGTGGTGGTCCGGCATTAGAGATCTCATTCCGACCTTTGATGGGGTGCCATTGGTGCCAGCGCTGGAGGTTAGGAGTTTGAGAGTGCTCTTGGATGCCTCCTTAATGATGGAGGCCCAGGTAGCAGCCACTGTCAAGTCAGCCTTTTACCATGTTCGGCTGATTAGGCATTTGGTTCCCTTCCTTGACTTGGCAATGGTAATCCACGCAATGGTCACCTCGAGATTAGACTACTGTAATGCTCTCTACATGGGATTGCCCTTCTCCCAGATTTGAAAGCTGCAGCTGGTGCAGAACGTGGCGGCCAGGCTGTTGTTGGGTCTCTCTCCACAAGATCATATCCAGCCTGTGCTGAAAGCATTGCAGTGGCTTCCATAGCATACAGAATTCTCTTCAAGGTACTGATTCTTACCTATAAAGCCCTTTATGGCCAGGGACCAGCATATCTGAGGGACTGCCTTTCCCCACATGTTCCCCAGAGAGCACTGGAATCGGGGACCCTGTTTCCAGGGACACAAAACCTCCTAGTGCTCCCTGGCCCTAAAAAGGCCAGACTGGCCACCACCAGGGCTAGGGCCTTTTCTGTGGTGGCTCCACACTGGTGGAACAATCTCCCTGAGGACACCAGGGCCCTGCAGAACTTACTTCAAATTCATAGGGGCTGCAAGACGGAGCTCTTCCACCAGGCATTTGACCACATTTAACATCTTGTTATAACATTGGACCCTCCCTGGGATCTTTCTAATCAACTATGTTTGTACTAACTGATTCCTGTCATGAAAATATTGGGTTATGATTTGAAGAAGAAGAAGAGAAGAGATTGGATTTATACCCCGCCCTTCACTTGGCGTCTCAGAGCGGCTTACAAACTCCTTTCCCTTCCTCTCCCCACAACAGACACCCTGTGAGGTGGGTGGGGCTGAGAGAACTCTGACACAAACTGCTCTTTTTCAAGGACAGCTGTGCCAGAGCTTGTGACTGACCCAAGGTCACATCAGCAGGTGCAAGTGGAGGAGTGGGGAATCAAACCCGGTTCTCCCAGTTTAGAGTCCGCCCACTTAACCACTACACCAAACTGGCTCAACTTGCCGTTACATAGGAATTGAACTATCTTATGTGGTTTTAAATTGTTTTAAAATTTTATGTAAGCCGCCCTGAGCCTGCCTTGGTGGAGAGGATGGGGTATAAATCCAATAAATAAATACAAAAGTTCTGAATTTTTAAAAAATCTCCCATCTTTGGGTGACTGTGTGTAAATTGGCACATAAATACGTTGGCGTTTCCTCAGTGTTATAGTACAGTATAGTGATTCAGGGTGTGTCGTTTGTTTGGTCTCTATTCAAAACTCAGCACAGCCATTCCTTACTTGTGATTTGAGTAGTGCCACAGTTTCTCAACTTGTCTAAATGCACACAACATCCTATCTCTCTATTTTTTAATATTGGAATAAGCCTGTTGGCATAAGTTGTTAAAAGGGGGTTGTTAGAATTATGGATTTTTACATCTTCCCTAATAATGTAGCAATTGAACCCTTGACATATGGATTTGATCAATTTTTGTGCCAGGGGTCATTTCAGAGAATAGCATAACTGTGGCCCTGGCCACACGTGCCAGAAAACACGGGGGGGAGGCATGGCTATTTGCGCCGTCGCATTCTGATCCACCATTATGCGATCAGATGCAACGGCGGCGCAACGGGGTTTCGTCCTTCGGTGCGCGCTGCAAAGAGGACAGCTGGAGGGAATAGGCGCAATCACACCGAATGAGTCCGTCTGCAGCCCATGGCACAGCATTTGCTAGTAGGTCTTTGCAGGTACTTTTAAATTGCTCATCTTTGGCGGCACACCATGGGTTGGCCATGGGTGCGCTTAGCTTCCCAGATGTTGTGGTGTGATCGCGCCCCAAAAATCTGCCCAGCATTTGTGCCTTTCGCGCGGCAAATTCTCCGTGTGACCGGGGCCTGTATTTATTAAAGGGTATATTTACAAATTGAATATATATTTTCAAAAGCACTGTACACTTCAGCTCTATAACTTAACTATCCATAAATTCTACTTAGTAATGGGGAAGTTTCACCAACATGAGTGTTAGATTCATACTAATATTTCTGTGTGCATAAGGGCTTCACACAGAACTCAGTTTTCTTGCCCCCTTCCCATGTGAGCCCAAAATATGCCCCAAAACTCAGAAGGGGAGAAGTGGGGAAATCATGTGCTGAAGGCAGAAGTCATTACTCTTGCTGAAACATTAATTTGGCTTGTAGCCTGAGTTTGGTCCACTTCCATAGTCAATTTATTTGTGGGTTTGTTTCTTTATGACACTTCTCTCTGTTGCTTTAATCAGCAGAATTTCCTAAGAGCTGATGGAAGAATTAAAATGGCATAGAAATTAAAATTCTTGGAGGAAATTGCTCATATTTTAATTTTGGGGGCTTAGTAGGGTTGCCAGATCCTTCCAAATCTCTGGCGGGGGACTTTGGGGGGCATTACTGGAGGGGGTGGGAATGTCCCCAATGTGATGACACCACACAGAAGTGACATCATCACGTTGGGGACCGGGGACCCCTTGTTCTTGCCAAAAGCATTTAAAGCGTCCCTTTAAAAATGCTTTTGGAAAGAGGCAGGGGCCCATGTGTGTCTGCACTCCAAGCCACGAATTCACAGCTTGGAGTGCAGGCATGCGCCCCCCCCCCTTTTAATGCTGTTTGGAAAAAGCGGGTGGGAGGGATGCCACACACACTTGCACTCCAAGCTGTGAATGCATGGCTTGGAGTGCAGGCACATGTGCCAACCCCTCTTCCTCCCTCGCTCCTGCAAGATTTAAATGGCCCTCTAGCTGATCCGTGGGCCACATGCTCCCACTGGTCAGCTGGCGGGCCCTTTAAATCTTGCAGTAGGGGTGGCTGAGTGGTCGCTGTTGGGAGTGGGGCTTCACCAGCCAGCTGGCTGGAGGCAGGAAGGAGCCCTCAAAATTGGGGGAACCTGCGCTTGGACCAGGGGTCTGGCAACCCTAGGGCTTAGTATCTGAGAGAGAATGCATTTTTTCCAGCTCATACCTTGAATAAACCTTTGTTGGTTTTAAAGGTGCCACTGGACTCTAAATTTGTTCTGAAGTCTGTTGAAGCTGTTCAAAGTCAATGAACAGGTCCCCTAATAACTCTCTTGCTTTCTTCCCTTTTGAATCCTCTCACTCCCTTCCCCTGTTCAGAGCATGAGTGCTGCATCTCTACCACTACTTTCCAGGCCGAACTGAAACCAGTTAGGAGCTGAGGAGAAATATTGCAATCTTTTGTTGTAGGTTCTCAGATGTGTTGTTTCATACAGTGTGTGTTTTTAATGGATTATCCATAGTGATTCATTAAACTTCATTGAAATACTCTAATAGACATATATTATGGAATAGAGAGTTGAATTAGTCTGAATGTAAACATGTTTGGTTTGATGCGTATAGAACAGTTTCTCTTTTTTAAAAAAGGTTTTATATAAGGATGACTCATTAAGGAGCCTGATTGTGTTAAATGTAATAAAGTAAGAATTGTAAATTTATAAAGAACTTTGCTCCCGTTTACCAATGATTTAATGACTCAAAATTTCTTTTGTTCCAGTTTGCCCACCTACATGCTTTCAGTATTGCTCCTTTTGTTAAGGCTTTTAGCTTTCATGCATAAATGTTTCCAGATGCTCTTTTTTCACTTTTAAGCATTCCAGAAAGATAATATAGGCCCCAGTCACACAGGCCAGATAACGTGGGGGGGGGGGGAGGCGTGGCT